GATATTGCGAGACGTGCATACAACATACAGTAAAGTCAACAACCGAGCTCCTATCAGAGAAACTGTCTGTGCTCGAAGGAAACGCAATTTCCTTAAACTCCACACTTGGCCTGTGCAGTGATATGCTGGTAGACTACGCCGGAGACAGTAAGTCTCACCCGCTAATGCTTCGGCAGATCGCGTTAGAGAGACCTGTGCGGATCAGCCCCGGATGATCATTGAGCTGTTATTCCAATATCTTGAGTGTTTTTTTCCCGCTTTCTCGGTCTCTTTTACATATTCAAATTTTAAATTTTTTAGATTTTGTTTACAGGAGTTGAGACCGAAACATATGGAACCTCGGTTAAAACACACACCAGGTTGGCTATGACCTTGACATTGAAATCTTGAAATGGCAGGAGACTGGCATGATTCCGCCAATAAATGGGACTGATATCTGCAGGGATTCAGATCCCGAGACAGGGATCTAAGGAATTCCAGCGAAAATTTAATGGCACATTGCCAACCATTTTACCTTTCGAGAAGATAGTGACACATTATCGAACATCACACCTAAAGACATGTGAGAGTACTAGTTATTGCCACTACTCCGTACATATGCATAATTAATCTGGATAATGTTTCCATTTCCAATACTGCGCCTTAAAGTCATAGACGTGCCCAGTAGTCCACCAAAACAGAAGCCCCAAAACCAACTCGAATATACCGAACAGTTATATTTTCCATGCATGTTCTAGGTCTACTCTAGACGACACCGAAAAAAGGAAAGAAGGTAAGCAAAAGTCATTTGCTTTTCTACTCTTCCTTATTTTCTTAACTTTCCCTGAGTGGCGCACTATCGCCTGATACGGCGAACGTTGTCTTACTAGTGCATCCTGGTGCCGGGTCAACCCCCTGTGTTGGCCACGGACAGTCTGGGCAATGCGGGTAATTTTCTTAGGTTCGCTTTGGATCTGCACTGGAGAATGAGTCGTATCCACCCTCGTCTCCGACGTGCATCGTCGGTTGAAAATCTTGTGGCAATTGGTATAGCGCCTTGAAGACGAGGCGCTTATGCATGCTACTTATGCATACTGCGGGAATTGGGCCCTCGTCTTACTCCGTACAGTCTGTTTCCCGCACTACTGCACGTCGCTCTCTGAGGCCTCTCTTGAATCATGCACTGTGGACTTTTG